CCCCAAAACCCCAAAACCCCAAAACCCCAAAGAAATATACATGTGAGATAGAATGTGGAGAGTGAAATTCTCTTAAATAATGTGTTATCATGTAAAAATTCAAGCGTGTATATCATAGCGCAGCACTTTTAGAGCAGCAGCAGCATCTCAATAGACTTCTCTATAGGTACATACTGAGCCTCTGGCAAACTCCTCAGCACCTGGAGCAGCTTCAGCATGCATAAGGAAATGAATGTGGCCTGGCTCAACGACCTTGGTAACTTTGCCGCTAGTCTCAGAGAAGACCATGTTTCTTGATGAATTGCAATCGAGTGTTACCTCAATTGGTTTGGATGTCAAGTTTTCAAGACCGTAGGAGAAGGTGTATGATTGCTCGCTGAACTTGTTTAAGAGTCTGTAGACGTTTGGTTTTTGTTCGAGCTCTTCTCCGAACTTTTCAAGGATAATTTGGTTTACTAACCCATCGTAGTCTTTCTTAGATGTAGCTTCTTCAATTTGAATAGCAATTGGCTTTAGGGAGTGAATGGTGAGCATGAAGCATCTGGACTCAAATGGATAGAGATCTTTGTCGTAACCCCACTTCTCGAACATTCTCCAGACAGTGGACTCACCTTGGATTTTGACTGCATCCTTCCAGAACTCAACGAAACCTCTTCTGTTGATTCCACCCTCGTCGTTGTTGCAGAACTTCTTTGAGATGGTCTTGTTGAATTGATCTTCAGTAAGATGGATGTTAAGTCTTCCATAGAACTCTTGGAATTCAGAGTACTCAAGGATGTTGTTAATGAGCACCTTGTCTAATCTTCTGAAAATATCTCTGACGCAGAGATCAGCAACTGGGTGAAGATCACTATTGTTATCAGTGAGCTTGATGTATTCTCCCTTGGCACCGGGTGGTCTCTTCATAGTGCAACCACTTGTTCTTGGCAAGATCAAGTAGTCTCCAGCTTCAAGCTCAACATCTAACTCGACTTGTCTCTCTGCGCTGAATTCTTTCATGTATATCAAATCTAGTGAGCCAGTTCTGGCGTTTCTTTGAAGAATTGCAACACCGATAGCGATGTATGGCTTTCTCTTAATTAAATCTTGGATTCTCTCGTCCTCTTAGTGAATACCAATTAGCACTCTTTGTTTTTAGGCTACTGAAATTTCATAGCAGAATCTTGATCTGGCTAGACTGTCAAGGTCAGATATCTTGGTTGAGAACTCACCTTTAACTCTGATTTCTTCCCAGTCACTGACTTTGCAGACATTCAAAGCTCTGAAGTGCTGAACGAAGTCTTAGAAACTCATCCAGAAGGTACCATCATCTCCGAAAACTGGGTTAATAGCTTTTTTCATTTACTCAGTCCAAAGTGGTGATTGATCACCCCAGTTGCCTTGCCATTCAAAGGTTCCCCATGGGTTACGAATGTTTAATAGTTGGTTTCCATAAGCCTCTTTAACTTGGATGACTGAATAGGCGTGTCCTGGTACGAGACCACCTTACTCAGTTGGACCACCAGTTTCAGTCCATCTGTCTTCTCCAGCAGTTGATGAACTGATCAAATATCCAGATTCATCGAATTGTTTTAGCTTTCTGAAGAACTCGCCGTTAGAAATTTGCTCTTAGCTTTAAGGATCCTCAAAATCAAAGCACTCTGTGGGACTTCCAGTTAAATCCATCATACCCTCATTAGCAAAACCTCCTCTTAGAGTGTAGTAGTTTCCATGAATCTTAGCATAGGCTTTCTCAAGCAAAAGCACCCACAACTCATTGCCATTAGCTCTTGAGAAGATTGGACCTCCATCTGATGTGCATGGGAAGTAATCATCAACGGTAACTTCCATCCACTCACCATTTTTACAAATCTTTAATCTATAGAGTCCCTCTTCGTTATATCTTTGAGTGATAAATAATCTCTCAACAAGGTGTGGCATTTCAGCTAATGAAGCAAGAGCGCACATAAACCAGCAATCTCCAAGTTGACCTTGTTTAATATCATTTGGCTCAATCTTCTTGTAGAAGACTTCTGGAGCAAATAGCCCTTGGCTTTCATCAACCACCATAAATTCATTTGGTCTCTTCCAAACGATTGGTTAATTGAATGGTTGACCTTCACTAGGTGGGAAAATGCTGCTATCTACTGGTGGAAATTCAATATCAAGGAAGTTAACTCCTGCTTCTCTGAGCTTCTTTCTAATAGCGTCTAATGGCATGATATCATAGGGGAAAGTCTCAAAGAGCTGTTTGGAGAACTTAATCAAAGATGGGATGTCATTGGGTCTGGGTCCATCTTAGAGCTGTTAGTTTAACAGACTCTTGGGGATGGCTTGGGTCTTAGCAGCATTCTTAATGGTATAAGTGAACTTGATTCTAAGAAGCCAGTCTCCAAACAATTTAACTTGAGCTACCTCCTCGTGAGCGAAGGGTCGGAGCTTAACAGTCTTTGTGGTCATATAAGAGTTGGCCAATGAGGCTCCTTCACTTCCAGTAATATCTACTAAGATATCCACTTCCTTGTCGAGCTTAGTCTCAATCTATATTTCATTTTTAGCTAACTAAGAAGGTTATTACGGTGTAAACGTTAGTTTGATCTAGAATTTCGTAGTTTTAGAATGAAGGTTCAACTTTCTTGTAAAGGATTATGCCCTCACCAATCTCTTGGGAAACTGTATCTGCCATATAAAATGATTTCTGTTATTTATTTTGAATAAAATTTCACATAGCTAATTAAAAATCTATTAATGCTTCAGGGGTTTTGGGGTTTTGGGGTTTTGGGGAGATCGGAAGAGCAC